TAATACCCTCCCCACTACAATGGAGTAGGGCATAATTAACCTCGGCCCTTTTGACGGGATGTACACGTTGCAGAAAAAAGAACCAAAGGACATGCAAAAGAAACGAGAGGGAGCACAACGGCGAAAAAAGCACGAAGAGCGGCAGGGAAAGGGAGGGGGAGGACGGGGAACGAAGAAAGGACGAACGGACGAACGGACGAACGGAAGAACGGACGAACGGACGACGGACGAACGGACGAACGGACGAACGGACGAACGGACGAACGGACGAACGGACGAACGGACGAAGGACGAACGGACGAACGGACGAAGGGACGAACGGACGAACGGACGAACGGAGGAACGGACGAACTGACGAAAGGACGAACGGACGAACGGACGAACGGACGAACGGAAGAACGGACGAACGGAAGAACGGAGGAACGGCGAACGGAGGAACGGACGACGACAACGGACGAACGGACGAAAGGACGAAAGGACGAAAAGGACGAAGGAGAAGGACGAAAGGACGAAAGGACGAATAGGACGAAAAGGAGAAATGACGAAAGGACAAAGGACAAAGACGAACGGACGAAAGGGCAAAAGACGAAAGGACGAAAGGACAAGGACGAAAGGACGAAAGGACGAAAGGACGAAATTACGAAAGGACGAAAGGACGAAAGTACGAAAGGACGAAGGACGTAAAGGACGAAAGGACGAAAGGACGAACGCTGACGAAGGACGTAAAGGACGGAACGGACGAACGAACGAAAGGACAGAACGGACCGAACGGACGAACGGACAACGGACGAACGGACGAACGGACGAACGGACTAACGGACGAACCGGACGACTGACGAACGGCCGAACGGACGAACGGACGAACGGAACCGAACGGACGAGGACGAACGGACTAGCGACGAAGGACGAAGGGACGGAAGGGACGAAAATTACTAACTACTACTAACTTACCTACTACTAACCTTACTAACTTACTAAACTTAACTATCTTACTATCTTACTAACTTACTAACTTATTAACTTACTAACTTACTAAATTACTAACTTACTAACTTGTTGACTGTGGTTGGTCTACTATATATTGTTCACATCTTCAGCTTGTATTTGATGTAGCTTACCTATAAGTCGTCTCATGCTTTTCACAAATTAAAAATTAATGATAATTTTACTTGTTTCATTTCATGAGTAAGTTGTTTTTTTTTTTAATTTTGTTTGTATTTTTCAACTGTCATCTTATAGTTTTCTTATAAAATCATGTTGTATACATTAAAATCTTTTCAGTCTATTTTCACATTCGCTAGTTAGGGTTTTAAATAAAATATTCTTCTTTTGGAATATAAAAACTAGCGGTTGAGTTCATAAATAATACAAAAGAAAACATGAGATTCTATGTAGCTGTAAGTGTAAAAGTGCTAATAGTTAAATAAAATAAAAAATAAAATAAAGAACTTTTGTAATTAGTTATTACAAAAAAAATTAATCACATTTAATAAATTGCTTATAATGAAATACAATAAAAAACATTAAGAATAAAATATGGATTATAAAAATAATTAAGCCGGAACTAATAAATATTGTCAAAACTAATTTATATTAATTTGGCGAAACCTGTATTAAAAACTACGAAAAAAAACTAATTTGAATTTAAAGTTTATTTTTAAAAGAAAACATGTTTTCCCAAAATTGTAGCCAAACTCAAGGATAAACTGAAATAAATATATGTATTACCTGTTTGCATAAAAATATTTATTTTTTAACAGGATTTATCACTGAAATAATTTACAAGGAAGTAAATATGTAAAATGTGTTTTCGTTGAAGAAAAAAAAAAACAGATCCAATGCAATTCATCATAGTTGTCAGTCCATGACCTTAAAGTATGAAAAGTGTTATGCTTGGGTTTAATACTGCAAATATTATGTTTAATGTACAGTTTAATTTGTGGTTGCAGTAATTTGTTTTATAGTTTTAGTTTTTACAGTGGTGTTTAAATAAAATCAAAATATTAAATTTGAGTTTTTTTTATATAAAGTAATCCATTACACTTTGTTGTAATGTGTAATTGAATAATAAACAATTACTATTAGTTGTAATTAAAATTTTAACAATTACAATTACTTGTAATGTGTAATTGAGCAACAACCAGTAACAATTATTTGTAATTATTTATATTATGTAATTGAGCAATAACCACTTACAATTATTTGTAATTGTAATTGCAGTTTTGTCAAATACAATTACTTGTACCATTATATGTAATTGTAAGGAAAATTTACAATTGCAAGCAACAACAAATTACAATTATTTGTAATTATTTATATTATGTAATTGAGCAATAACCAATTACTACTATTTGTAATGGAAGTGTTATCAATTATAATTACGTGTACTATTATATGTAATTATAAGGAAAATTTCACAATTACAAGTAATGCTCAACTTTTGAGACAAAGAAGGATCACAGAAAGAACATTCTGTATCACTTGAAACAAGTAGTAGTCGGACGTTGCAAGGTCTGGACTATATATAAGGCAGGTATGACAAAAATGTTCAATCACTTCTTTCTCATTAATAGGTATTGAAACAAGTGGCTGAGTGTTACCATGATTGTATATTAAGCGTTAATGTCTGACCGCATATTCTACGCATTTTTCGGTCAATGCTCGCTTCAAACGAATTAGTTGCAATCGTCGATAGTTTGGCCGCTATCAGTAGATATTGGGCTTTGATGTCGATTCGGCTAGTTCACCGGCCTTCATATACAATCTCTTGTTCTTTAGGTTATCGTAATGGATCCAATTTTCATCGCAAGTAATGTGTTTGTGCCTTTTATAGTGTTCAAATTCTCTCGATTTTAATTCGTTTTACACCCAATTCCCATGCTTTTAGATTAATCATATCTCTCCCAAGCATTACAGTTTTACAATATCACTTATAATTTCCCAATTTTAGTCATTTGATATTACCAAATTTCAGGACCAAACAAACCTTACCATTGGAAAGTGAAACCCTTCAGTTATTTCCTCTTTGACCTTATCGTTATTTCAACAGGTAGACAGACAAACAGACAGACATACAGACGGACACATAGACGTCTGACCATGTGAACATGTACTTATTTATGATCTCCTATATCATTTTGTAATGTATATGGGCAATTTCATGTCTAGTGACCCAACTTTTAAAATCGTTGTCTTACGATTTGGATTTTGCATCAAGGTTAGTACTATTGAATGAGGCCAAACACAACAACATTTAGATACAATTTCATGTCAAGTGACACAACTCAAAAAATCCATTTTGAGGAAATTTGTACCAATGATAGTACTATTAGATAGTATTCCTGGCAGAACTGCCAGAGTTAGAGGGGGTCAAAATTGGACATTTTGGCTATACAGGATTTTATTCAAATGAATGCAACTTTTCTCCTATTGGTTCTAGCAAACATTGTCCAAAGGAGTCAATTAGCCCATTTTGAAAAAAAAATGGAAACAATAAAGAAATAGCTTTCTGAACTACTTTGGACAATTTTTACTATGACCAATAGGTGAAAAGTTAAACTCATTTGAATAAAACCCTGTATGACCAAAACATTCAACTTTGTCCCCCTCTAAGTCCGGAAATTCTTGACCGATAGAGCTGAATTTATGTCTGGCCTACTATGAAATAGTGTTGGGCCACTTGACATGAAATTGTATCTAAATGTTGAGAAAAATTTGTCCTTCTATCCGCCATCAAAAATCAACACAAAATGTATGTAGTGGAACTTAAATCAAGTTCTTCACTTATTATTATTATTCTGGTTAATATTATCAGGTTTAACAGGTCAAAAATCTAAAAAAACCACCCTAATATGTATGTAGAAGTATGTATCTAAATCTGTGTACTTTTTAGTTAACGAACAAACATTCCAAATTTTGTGAAAAAAAAAACAACTATTAAAATGATTTAATAAATCACTAGAGAGCAAAAGAATTAGTACTAAATTTATATGTTTATTAAAACAAAAAGTTTAATTGTTAAAATAAAATGTTATAAATTATTGTCACTTGACAATATCCAGTCACCCACTAATACATATTTATATGCTAATGATTTATCTATGACAACACAGATGGTTTATCAATACAACAACAAATAAATAAAACAACTAGTTTTAACAAATAAATTTTGCAAAATCTTTAAAAATGTAGAAAAAACTTGTATATACAATAGAAAAAGAATGTATAAAATCTAATGAATATTAATTTTTTTAATGCAAAATTTAAAAAAAAAATTTTTTGAAAGTTTTTCAATCACCTGTTTTAGCAAAACAGAACATTAAGATGCCACATCATTGTTGGTGCTCTACCCCTCTCTCTCTTTTCAACTTGTTAATGACATTTAAATGTTAAACGAAATTCTTTCTTACTAATTCACTTATCAAATTAATTAAAAATTTGCACAAAAAAACATAAAAATATTTTAAAATGTCAAATTGCTAGAAAAAATTTCTAAGAACAAAACATTGAAAACCTTCAATTATATAAATAGTTTCTTAAAAATTTAGATTAAAATAAATAAACGTCATTAAGACAAGTTATTTTCAGCAAAGAAATCATTAGCTGTCAATATAGACGTCGTGTGTGTGAGCTTTCATGACCTTCCCACCATAAAAGGTTAATGAACGTAAATGGCAACAATCAATGATAACACATAAAATAATATTCATTTTATATATATTTATGCAAACAACCCCACAAAATAAATAGCTTAACAAAATTGCTAATAATATTTATTGAGAAAAAAACAAGTAAGAGTGTTATATTCGGCTATGCCGAATCTTATATACCCACCATCAAATCACTGCCATATAAATAAACTTTGATATTTTAAATATTTTATTATTATATATATCGATACTAATGTGAACATCAGGGTAATATTTGAAATAGTTCTCTTAATGGGGATTCAACTATTGACAGTAAAGATTTCGGATTTGACGGTAGGATGATTTCAGTTCCTTATTTATTTCAAATTTTATAGTGCTAATTATATTTTTAAGCCAGTAATGAACATTAAAGTCATTTTCTTAAAGGGACCTTATACGGGTTAGGGTTAATTATGGACCGATCCTCATAAAATATGGTAGAGAGATTTTAGCTTAAAATTAGTTTATGTCGAATTGCATTGCGGTATTCGTATTTTCAGCCAGTTAAAGTAATTTTTTAAGGGGACCTTATATGGGGGGGTAAGACTAATTATGAACCGATCATCCTTAAACCTCGTAGAATGATTTTTATTTATACAAATCATATTTGTGTATATTTTCCAGCCAGTAATGAGCGTTGTAAAAATTTTCGGTGGGGTAATTATGGACTGATCCTCATAAAAATTGGTAGAGAGATTTTGGTTTCTATAGAACTTATCAGTGTCGAATTTCATCGCTGTACTCACATTTTGAAGCCAGTAATGAGCGCTAAAGTATTTTTCAGATGGGGACCTTAGTTATGGGCCGACCCCCACAACATTTTGTAGAGAGATGTTAGCTGATACAAAACTAGTTTATGTCGAACTTCATTGATCTACTAGTACTTTTAAGACAGTACTTAGTTTTAAAGACATTTTCTGAAGGGGCTTTATATGGGGATGGTCTATTATGGACCAATTTTGTAGAACGATTTTGGTTCATACAGGTCATGCTTATATCGAATTTCACGCTTTACTCGTTTTTTAGGCCAGTAATGAGTGTTAAATTATTTTTCTAATGGGGACCTTATATTTGGGGGGGGGGGGGGGGGGGGTGTCAATTAAGGCCTGATCCACAAAAATTTGGTTAAGAGATTTTGGCTCGCACGTTACTTATTTGAGTCGAATTTCATTGCTATACTCGTATTTTTATGTCAGTAATGGGGCTTTAAGTAATTTTCTGAAGTGGACCTTATATAGGGGGTAGGACCAATTATAGACCGATCCACATAAAATTTGGTAGAGAGATTTTGGCTTGTATAAAACTTGCAACTGTACAATGTTATCGCTGTACTCGTATTTTGAAGCCAGTAATGAGCGTTAAAGTAATTTTATGGAGGGGACCTTATATGGGTGGTAGGATCAATTATGGACCGATCCACATAAAATTTGGTGGAAAGATTTTGGCTCCTAAGATACTAGCTTATGCCAAATTTCTTCGCTATATTCGTATTTTTACGCCAATAATGAGCGTTGAAATCATTTTCTGAAGGGGACCTTATATGGGTGGTAGGGTCAATTATGGGCCGATCCACATAAAATTTGGTGGAGAGATATTAGCTCGCATGAAACTTATGTGCGTCGAAATTCATATTCGCATTTTTAAGCTAGTAATCAGCTTTTTAGTCATTTTCTAAAGGGGACCTTTTATGGGGGATAGGTCCAATTATGGTCCTATGTCCGCCATAATTCAGAATTTTATTTCAAAAGTAAAAAAACTGACCTGTGCGAAATTTTGTGGTATTTGCTTCATAAACAACGAATTTGTGAATGTTTGAACCTTTTTACACAATATTCCGGGGGGTACATTTGTATGGGGGCTATGTGAAATCGTTGACCGATTTTGCCCATTTTCAATACCAAACATTTCTGATAAATAAAAAAATATTTTGGGATAATTGCATCTCAATGTCTCTTTTTTTGTGGACGCTATCGTGCCAACAACAGACAGACGGACGGACATAGCTAGATCGTCTTAGAATCTTACGAGATTCCAGAATATATATACTTTATGGGGTCTGTGAACAATATTTCGATGTGTTACACACGGAATGACAAAATCAATATACCCCCCATCTTTTTGATGGTGGGTATAAAAAATCACTTAAGAAAAAACATTTTTTATTTGTTTAGTATCGAAAAACGACCTAATATAACAAAGACTTAATTTGGAATTTATTAAAAAAAATATTGTATCTAATTTGTTAAAATACCGAAATACATTTAAATTATAAAATCATTTAAATTATAAACAAAAATCATATTCATTCATTCAGTCAGTCAGTCACTCAGTTATTTCAAAAAAAGTTCAATAAACTAAAGTCACACAGGAAAATGTTAATAAAATAAATGTGTGTATTAAAATATTAACTGTTTTTTTTTTTTTGTTTAATAATAAAATCACAAAATACACAATAAAAATCTATATACATATTTTAGTTAAAAAAAAAAAAAACATAAAATAAATTTACTAAATTGAGTCATTTGACGATTTATGTTGAAATATTTGTATCACAAATCAAATTGCCAAAGGAAATTGTCAACAATTGATTTATGTAACATTGTATATTGAATGCTATGATTTTATTAAAAATATTTTCTCCACTGTTTTTTTTTTTATTTATTTAAATTTATTTACATAATACATATTCGTCAAAAGAATGTCATAACTTATTAACAAAAATGTTTAACAGATTTATACAATGTTAACTATAAATTGTTTTTATCCAAAACTTTAAAAATATTTCATTCTACACCTTTTATAGCATTTCTGCTCTGATTTAAAATTGTTGAGTTATGACATTGTTTCATAAATATTTCTGCCATATGTATGAAGATATTACTCGTCATCTGACAACCGGATCTGTAACTTTTTATTGTTAAAAGATAATATTAGATTTTTAAACAAAGTTAATATAAACATTCAAATCGTAGATATAACGGTATTTCATTTTGTGAGAATTAAACAAATATGTATATGAATAATTAAATTAATATTCAAAATTTTAGAACCAACAAAGAATACTATATATACCCTACACCACTATAGTGGGGAGGGTATTATTCGTTTGTGCTGATGTGTGTAACACCCAAAAATAGTGGTTTACATCCACCTTAAAGTATCTGCTCAGAATATATTTCTGGGTCGATTGAGCAATGTCTGTCCGTCTGTCTGTCTGTCTGTCTGTCTGTCTGTCTGTCTGTCTGTCTGTCTGTCTGTCTGCCTGCTTGTCTGTCTGTCTGTTCATATAAACTTTGTGCGCGCTCTACAGTTCGTAGTTTTTGAGATCATTTGATGAAATTTTTCACCTAGCCCCCATATATACGGACCCCCAAAATAGGGATTTTGACCTCATAATTATGTTAAATGATCTACTATATCTACAACAATTGGCAAAACTTAGTTTTATATAAGTCTTAATAATTTTAGCGATTTTCGTAAAAATCGGCCATTATTTGACCCTAGCCTCCATACAAAGTCCTCTTGAGAAAATGGTTTGAACGTCCACAATTCACTTATAAACACTAGTATCACGATGAAATTTTCCACAAAAAATCCCGACATTAAATTTTATAAGAATCAAACCTAGCCCCCATACAACCGGACCTACTGATTTGAGCCTTTTAGCTCATAACTATGTCAAATATTCCACTATCTTTCAAAAAATCTGTATAAGTTTGATTTCGTAATGATCGGGCCTCATTTGACCCAAGCTCGTATATAAAGTCCCCTTCTAAAAATGACTTGAATGTCAACAACTCACTTATAAACACTAGTATCACGATGAAATTTGGCACAAATAAGTTTTATATAAACATAATTCACGACAATAACCTTTATAAGGATCGGCTCAATTTCTGCCCTAGCCCCCATACAACTGGACATTCCGATTTGGGCTTTTTAGCTCATAACTACGTCAAATATACTACTATATTCCAAAAAATTGGATCAACTAAGATTGATATAATCCTAAATAACACTGTCAATTTTAATAATAATAGTCGGTCCGCATTTGACCCTAGACCCCATACAAAGTCCTCTCCAGAAAATGGTTTCAAATTTCCTCCAAATAGATTTTTTAAGTTGACACGAAGTTGTCCATATGTATGTAACGGTCAATAGACTGGTTTTAAGACTAGTCCATACATTAAGAGAAAGAACTGCATATTAATGAAAAATATTCATTGCATGCATGAAACATATTCATTCACATTTAAAACTTGTGGGAAATATAAAAAGCGAACTATAGGTAAATAATCAAAAATGGTAGGGTATCACACTGTTGGTCATAGCCAACTATACTTTCCCACTTATGTTTAAATTGTTTACGAAATAAAAAATTGTATAATGTATTGAAACTTTATAGCCCCTTTGAGCCTATAAATTCCGAAAGGTACAAATTTAATCTTGTTGCAAAAGCATTGCTTTTTGTTTCCTCTTGTAAATCTATAAGTACGTAAAACGTAAAACACTTTAGCTGCTTATTGATGATGTCGTGTGTTTAAACTTTTTGCAATATGTTTACTATTTTTTGTTTTATATTTTACTGTTCTTTTCGTTTTTCCACTTCAAGGTATTAATCGCAGCTGTGACTGTAAATTGTCTCGTGACGGCAATAAATGCTGTAGAAGCCACCGATACAGTGGAAGTGCCATACATTGATATGCTGTTGCCACCATTGGAAGATGTACAAGACAGCAGCAAAGATGCACCAGCTAAAATTAATGTAACAGCCAAGGCAACGCCTGCACCGATAAAAACTACTAGCACAACAACGACAACGAAAAAACCCATAACTAATGAGGTGAATAATATTTTACCTGAACTATCGATTGAGGCTTTGTTGCCACCTTTATTTGAGGCTAAAATTGAGAAGGAAGATACAAAAAAGACAACAACACAAAAACCTACCACCACAACAACTACGACGACAACAACAAGAAGGCCTACAACCACTACGACTAAGACCACCACCACTACTACCGCTAAACCTTTAACTACGACCACTACTACGGTAAAACCTTCAAAAGTAGAAGTACCTGATTTATTTTTGGATTCTTTGCTGCCACCCCTACTTGATAATGAAATTGTTGATGCTAATGAAAACAAAGTTGTTGTAACCACACCAAAACCCATTAAAACTACTAAAAAATCATATTATCAACAACAAAAAGATCTTCTCGTAAATGATCAACCTGAGGCACATACCAAAAACTATCAAAAACAACAACAATTAAAACATATATCAACCAGCCATACCGACAAAGATATCAAAAACTACAATAAACCAATAGCTACCACCACCGCTTTTACTACTACCAATGATAAACATGTTGCTGAAAGTAAAACTCTAACAAAACAAGTTTCTTTAGCCACACAAACGCCAAGCATCAAGTTGCAAAGCAAGATCGAAACTATGGCTAAGCAACATGTAACTAAACAAGTATCTCAACATAAACACTCAACCAGCAACTCTCAAGCCAACGGTAAACAATTTAATAATTACAGCTTCGATTTATACTTCGGTTCGACTACACCAAGGCCACCCAAAAGTGGTCTACCAACAATTACTCCATTCCCTCATCGTTTGGGAAGATAAACGAATGGTTCTTATTACACTACATTTTTAAGACTTAATTTATTATAAATACTTCACAAAAAAAAACAATAAAAATTAGAAAAAAACAATTAATTTTATTTATATGTGGCTCATTATCTTATAAACACGCGTAAGTTCAACCTAAAATATTTGTGTTTTTTTCTAATTAACTAATATCCAAAAATAAGATAAACAACACCATCAGAACATTAATACAGGTATTGACAACATCAGTTTAAATATTAAACTATTGGTTTCATTATGTCTGTCTATATATGTATGTATGTATGTATGTATGTATGTATGTATGTATGTATGTATGTATGTATGTATGTATGTATGTATGTATGTATGTATGTATGTATGTATGTATGTATGTATGTATGTATGTATGTATGTATGTATGTATGTATGTATGTATGTATGTATGTATGTATGTATGTATGTATGTATGTATGTATCAGTATTATAAGCGTTTAAGTGTGTGTGTTTTGTATCTATCTGCCCATCGTTCATGCTGTGTTATTTAATTATTTTTTTACAAATACAACCTACTCAACTAATTGATTTTTAACACCTTCTGTATGCATCAGACTCTACTTAAAATAATCCATCTGACTTAAGCTAAGTCCAAAAATTTATTTCCAAATCCTATCTAATGTGTATCACATACTCAAATGAATAACACACTTATTCATAAATTTTTAATAATATTATTTTTGGAATTTTCAATGGAAAATATGCGTAATAAACCTAAAATAAACCTAAAATAACGATAAATATCTTTATGACTAAGGAGGTAACTCTTTTCAAAATATGTATATGGTGAACGGGTATTATTAAACTACGTATTGCAATTTAACCTACTATGAGATTATTATTAATAACTTTATTTTATTAAAAAACAAAAACATTCGTGTTTTGATTTTAATATAATGCTATCAGACAAACAAGTCTTACTTAGTCTGAACTATAACTGAACTATAACTGAACTATAACTGAACTATAACTGAACTAGAACTGAACTAGAACTGAACTAGAACTGAACTAGTACTGAACTAGAACTGAACTAGAACTGAACTAGAACTGAACTAGAACTGAACTAGAACTGAACTAGAACTGAACTAGAACTGAACTAGAACTGAACTAGAACTGAACTAGAACTGAACTAGAACTGAACTAGAACTGAACTAGAACTGAACTAGAACTGAACTAGAACTGACTAGAACTGAACTAGAACTGAACTAGAACTGAACTAGAACTGACTAGAACTGAACTAGACTGAACTAGAACTGACTAGAACTGAACTAGAACTGAACTAGAACTGAACTAGAACTGAACTATACTGAACTAGAACTGAACTAGAACTGAACTAGAACTGAACTAGAACTGAACTAGAACTGAACTAGAACTGAACTAGAACTGAACTAGAACTGAACTAGAACTGAACTAGAACTGACTAGAACTGGAACTAGAACTGAACTAGAACTGAACTAGAACTGAACTAGAACTGAACTAGAACTGAACTAGAACTGAACTAGAACTGAACTAGAACTGAACTAGAACTGAACTAGAACTGAACTAGAACTGAACTAGAACTGAACTAGAACTGAACTAGAACTGAACTAGAACTGAACTGAACTAGAACTGAACTAGAACTGAACTAGAACTGAACTAGAACTGACTAGAACTGGAAGCTAGAACTGAACTAGAACGGAACTAGAACTGAACTAGAACTGAACGAGAACTGAACTAGAACTGAACTAGAACTGAACTAGACTAGAACTGACTAGACTGAACTAGAACTGACTAGAAACTGAACTAGAACTGAACTAGAACTGAACTAACTGAACTAGAACTGAACTAGAACTGAACTAGAATGAACTAGAACTGAACTAGAACTGAACTAGAAACTGAACTAGAACTGAACTAGAACTGAAACTAGAACTGAACTAGAACTGAACTAGAACTGAACTAGAACTGAATAGAACTGAACTAGACTGAACTAGAACTGAACTAGAACTGAACTAGAACTGAACTAGAACTGCTAGAACTAGAACTGAACTAGAACTAACTAGAACTGAAACTAGAACTGAACTAGAACTGAACTAGAACTGAACTAGAACTGAACTGAGAACTGAACTAGAACTGAACTAGAACTGAACTAGAACTGA